GGGGAGTAGTGGACTTAGAGGAGGATCTCGTGGTAACACAGAAGAAACATTGGTTTATAGAGAAGGGTCTATGGGAGTAAGTGGTGGGTTGCGCCAAGTTCGAGACACGATCTCGGAAAAGTCCAAGTCTTGGCCAAGAAGCAAATTCGAGGCCGAGAAAAGTGGTGACGGCGTCTCAGGCTGAACAACGACGCAGGTAGCCAAACGCAGTACTGCATTGACAAACGCACAGGACCGAAGTATTTCGGTTTGGGCGCCGCCATTTTGGGGAGGTGTCGACTGTGGCTGTTGTTGTTTTTACCGGCTAACACGAGAGGTCGAAGGAGACATGGGAGAAGCCTTTCTGGTCTAAAGGTCATCCATCGACCAGAGAAGTTCACCTTGGCGTGACGACGAACAATTCAAAGAGGTAGCAACACAATGTTTGACCTATTTGTCGCCACGAAAAACAACAACAAGTCCTCAACTAGACAGGGGACGGCGGCGGAGCTGCCAATCACACTGCATACGCCACGAAAACGAGATCGACCTGTTAAAAAACCACGAACTTTGTTTGGCCTAAGGCCTCCGATTCTCCGACGAGGCCGACGGCCACACTTGCCCTTTTGGGCCACGAAAAGTTCGAGGCTTGGCCACGGGACTTTTGTGGCAACCACACTTACTCCATTTCTCCCCGCACCCCTCCCCCGAGGAATAAAAAGTAGATTTCATTGTATGTCTCTAGTCGTGATAAACTTTTTGGGTCCCGACTTTTTCTCCCCTAATACCCTGCAATGTTAGTAGACAAACCATACAACCTACCGGTTTTGTGAAGTCTTCTGTACAAAAACATATATAGACTCTGGATTATTATATAGTAACTACTTTTGTCATACTATCCCCTGGAAATTTTGTAAGATATTCTTCCCGGAAAACTTAGTTTTCGACAGTGTTTCGACAATACAACAACAAAGTTTGACATATTGTTGGTGTCGGGGACCATCTGGTGGTGTATCTGAAATTGTGGTGTTTACACGTTATTGAATACGGACATTTATATATTGCAACTCGTTATATGGGAGCAATTTCAATGCGAAATAAAAGAAACTTAAATGTTAGACTTTTGTCATTTGTCGCGGTGAAAAAATATACTCATATAAGACGGACCACATGAATAGACATAAACAAAAATGGAATATATATAATAATTATTGTATACGGATGATAAATAATAGTTTAATAGTTTTATCAGAGAACGAAGATTTTTTATATATATTAAAGACTAATTATATTCTAGAATTTTCTTCAAACTAGAGTCTGTTTTTACTGGGTAATTTTACCTCTACACAATGGGGTGTCTCGTCACCCAGGCTCCTCTTCTTTCCCATCTTGGAACACAGTAAAGGAACAGGAGGTAGAGTAGGGAGAAGGGTCGGTACGTCCGCCAAGGAGGAGACCGCCTGCCCTTCTGATTACCTGTGTAATGGGCGGCCGAACAGGGAGACGCCGCTAATACACCGGACACTCCAGTAGGAAGGTGAAGATGAGGGGTAGGTGTAGTCCCTTAGATAGTAAAAGTAATGACGTCAACCCCTCCTCCTCCTCCCTTACCGAACTCTTTAGGCAGAGGTACTGATATGTAGAGACACAAGGGACATGCGATGACAGTTTGAGTTCTCCGCTGACCAGGACGGCGTGAGTTAGGTTATGGCAAAGGACACGCGAAGGAGCGAGGCATCTTACTCAATCCAATACCAACTGACGAATTAATCTTATATTTACAAGAACAACATTTACAAACACTTATTTTTGGGAAAAAATCTACGTGTGTACGTTGTAGTGTGGTTCCACAAACTCACACACACACACACACACACACACACACACACACACACACACACACACACACACACACACACACACACACACACAACCACACACACACACACACACACACACACACACAATTCATTTGATACCTTGGTGATTGGTTAATGGTTACACAAGCCAAAAAATCGTTATGATATCATAAAGTGGCCAAGATCTGATCAGCTCATTTTCAGACAGGTTTTTATATAAAAAAGTTTTATATAAAACTTTCAGAATCTTTTTACACAGAGGGGACACATGTTTATGTATAAAAGACATACAAAAGTGCATTTTGCATGATAGGTCCCCTTTAATAAAACCCTCCACTCGTATATTGGTCAAACTCTTGCAGAATCATCTCCCTCTGTAAGGGCTGATCTCTGTAGAGGTGTAAATGTTTTTCACTGAGGGGATCCGAATCTCCTCCTAGAGCACCATTGTGTTGGCCCACAGTTCATCCCTGGGATCAGGGAGGTCACTGATACCAGAGCTTACTCCAATGGAAGCCCCCTCCCCCATCATCATCATCTGACCTGTATGGGGTGACTGTCAGTGGACAACAGCCAGAAGCATAGGGATGGGCCTTTTTGTACAAAATGAAAACACAGCATATATGGACAAAACTGAACAAGTGAACCCGTCCAGTGTCACATGGTAACCTGCTGCACTGCATCCCTCCCACTTCCTTTTTTCTGAGTATGCAACGTGTCGGCTGTCAGCCACAACAACCCTGCAGACTGACTCAGTCTGAACCCGCACCGCAGAGCAGCGACTTAGACTTCTGGTTTTGACACCACACCAACTTCCTGTGGCGCCTCCGCCCTGCAGTCGGAAGTGTCTTCAGCGCTCATTACGCAACCGTCCCAATTGTCTATTTTTTCTTGACCAAGACACTCTGTCACAATGTCAGTCTGTGTCTACTAAGACCTCAGACTATTTGGTTGACATTCGTCCTCAAACTTGTAATTGCTCTGGGAAAGCTTAAAGGACAGTCAGACGTTACTTGTTTGCTTTTAAAGGATAGATCTAGTTTCATACAACTTGTCCAAGATTTGGCAATCATTCCTATTGTGGAGTCTCTAGACTGCTACAAAAGGCCAGATGGGCTACAATTAGATTAGTTCAACTTATTTAAAGGAAAAAAAGGCCAGCAGTGCGTGGAGTACATTGTTAGCATAACTGACAAACATGGGAAACAACTACAAAACTAAACCCAAGTCTAAATATAAATATATTAAATATTATATAATACTGGCCAAAGGAATCTTCTGCCTTCCAAAACCTAAATGTGTCAAACCAAACTTCAGACCCTCCCGCCTCACTGCTGGAACGCATGTGTTTTGGCTCCAGAGTGAAGCCTCTCACTCTCTCTTTCTCCCTACTTCTCTCTTTCACTGGTTCAGCCTCTCCCAGAATCCAACAGTGGAACAAAATGTCCGGCTCCTGAGTGGAAAGTGCCAGTACGTGCTGGCTAGCCGGCTCAACTTTGAGGCTGCCCAGCGCCCTGCAGGGAACCAAAGGGCCTCTTTGTGCTCTGCGCTCACAAAGATGTACCCCGAGCAGCAAAAAACTACACCCTAAAACAAAAACCAACAACAGTGTCCCGGCCAGGGGGGCCGGCCTGCAGCCCGACGCAGGGTCCAAGTGGAGGAGCTGCCAAAATCGGAGGTTTCAAATCAAACCTGGTGGAAAAGACAGAGGGATTCAGAGGAAGGAAGTTTTCCTTTGAAGCTGAAAATGTTCCGTCAGTTCAGATTCCTCATGTGCTAAGACATCTTGGCTGTACAAATGTTCCTCCTTGTAAGTAAGAGTATCAAGCCACAAGTAACGGGATTTGGGTTGAAAAAGAGATTTTGTTTCTATTCTGAGAGAGTGTGTAGTGAAATTCACATGGGGTAATTGTACTCAAGAGCAAATAAGGTTTAAAGACCAGACGGTGACAAACAGGGATAGCATTTAAAAATAAATGACAAACTCATGACTATCAGCGGCTCTGACAGCCATAAACAGATAGCCAGACGCAATCTGCAGGCTGCTACATCTCCATTAACCCCGCTTTGACGGGGCGTTATTTGCGCAGCGTGAGTGTGTTTCCATACAGTAGTGCTAATGACCTTTGAGCCTGATAGTAGAAACCCAGCCGGCAGCCGCATGAATGTTGTTTTCTGCCCTTGATAATGCGGTCAACCACTGCGGGGACCTGAGTATTCCACCTTCATAGCTTTACGGCATCAGATATACCTGCCACACACACACGGTGATTGTTGACTGCTGGCTGGGTGCAGGGCGCGTCGTACAAAGTCCCATTCAGAGTGTTAATTAGGCTAACCTGCAGTTCAGCGACCCGCAGTTCATTACAGAAATAGCTCTGAAGTCCTAGAGTGGATGGCTTAAAATGTGTCCAGTGTGTGTGTGTGTGTGTGTGTGTGTGTGTGTGTGTGTGTGTGTGTGTGTGTGTGTGTGTGTGTGTGTGTGTGTGTGTGTGTGTGTTGCTTGTGTCGGTCGCTGATGCAGGGCACAGCAGCACCAGCTAACACGGAAATGTCTATTTCAGTCTATTAGTTCGATGGGGCCGTAGACTGTCAGACACCTCTTTCGAGTAGAGAGAGGGAGGGGAAAGGCAATAATGGATTTACTTTAGTGTGTGTTTCAAGGTGCCAGACAGTGCCCCCCCCCTCTCTCTCTCTCTCTCTCTCTCTCTCTCTCTCTCTCTCTCTCTCTCTCTCTCTCTCTCTCAGAGTGGGCTGCGCTGGCGCTCGAGCATTAAGGCGGTCTTGAGTGATAAAAAAACATCCTCTCCCTCTTCCTCTCATGCTTGGAGAGAGCTACAGCATTAAGTGAGGGAGGCATCAGACTAGGGTGTGTGTGTTTCTGATGCACCGCCTCCACACACACAGCACAGCGCTCTGGCTCTACATTATCCCGAATGCTGCTGCTATGATTGGAGCGGTAATGTGGTTGCTAAGCAAATGCAGTTTTCTTGGACTAAATCGGACTGGGCAAGACTGCTTCCTGGCTGGCTGCTGGTGGGCCGGGCCTGGGTGCTGTGCTTACATGACTCACTCACAGAGACATACACGCACATGGCAGCGTGTGTTCAACTGCAGCACCAGGCGCACCTTAGAAAGTAGCTTTTATTAGTCCACCTGTGCTTGTCCTCTGGATCAAAATCAAATCATGATCCGACTACTCGTTAATTTCTCAGAGCTGTAATCATTTTTTATCACACCTTATAAACTGAGTCATTGGCTTTTGTCTTTTCGCTTGATAAAAAGCAGTCAGTGAAATTCCACCCAGTGATAGATGGACTTTCCAACAGTCTGTGGTATTAGTGGCTCAGGGTGATACAATGATGACTAATTATGAGTAACACATATCAGAGAATAGTGGTGGGCCACTACAAAGGGCTTCACATGATGCAACAAAAGACACTTGTGCGTGTATTTGAAGGCCACTAGTGACGTTTCTGTAGCCGAAAGTAAGCAGTGGGAGTTACTTTAACACATCTTACTCAAGCAAGATATAGCACGATTTTTGATTTACAGCGTAAATACTTATTATGATTAGTCTAGCTTTACTGTCTTGACAATTATTTAAAAAAGTTAAAAAAAAGTAAAGAAACTTCCGATTACATAACTACTTACCAATTTAAGAAGCACATGTTCATTAGCGCATGGTGGATGTCATCAATACTCAGATATTAAAATACTTAATTATCTATAACTCATTTAATAGATTCACTGTTTTTACCAATACTTGCAGGCCACTGTAACTTCGGAAAGAAAACTAATCTTACTTACGCTACATTTCAACGAATATCAACCAAAATACGAAATCCAAAAAGTTGAGATATTGTTAATATGCAACTTGCTTTACTAATTGTTTAAGCTGTGTTTTATAATTCTGAAACTATTTTCTACACAGTACAAACTCAGATAGTGTTGTGCTGAGGAGTCTGGTCTAAACCGCTCTCTGGTTGCTTGTCAGCCCGCCGGCTAACAGCTCGTGTTTCCGGTAAGGTGAGAAGGAAGATCGGGGTCAACCATCCGTCAAAGAAAGAGATGAAGGTGCTTCTCTGGGAGGGGCTGTGGGGGTCATTACTTGAAGGCGGCTTCAATTAAAGCAGTAGCCAGTTCGATTAGCGGCCACCACAACACATTCTTGTCAGTCGAGCTAAGAGCGGGGTCGGCAATTAGCCCGTCCACAAGTCAGGAGGTGGTTATGTGGAGCGTCTCAAGGTACGCGCAGGGTTCCACTTTCAAACATCATGGGGTAGTAGTACTGTCTATATGTGTATGGGTTTGTGCGAGAGAGCAGGATGTCATCTACTTTTAGCTTCACACTCACAGTGTCACATTTCCTCACCTTACGTCAAAGCTACTCCACTGACTGCTGATGAGTATGACTTACTCTAATTCATGGAGCGCACTTTCTGTGTAAACACCCCAAAACAATGGACACTGTGGATAATGTGTATTTTCAATAGAAATAAAGTACTTTTTATTCCATTTTCCTATTCAGCTTAGACACAACAGAGTCAGTTCTGGAGGATATGGCTGATCGGTGTGTGTATTCTATATAAAGCTGATATGTAAACTTTGAGGCAAGTGAACAGTGCAGCACCACATTGTGGACAACAATGAGAAAAATAATGGATGAAATGTCTTGATTAGAATTTTCTAAAAATGGCAAAAATAACTTGAATTTTATTATTTAACCAAGTATTATGATCTATAACAATATAAAACATAGAAAATAAGAATGTTCATGATGAATTGGGACACTTATCAATGATTAATATATATTCTTTGGGACACATACTTTAGCCAAGTAGTGCCGAACAGATAAAAAACTTATAATATTATTTTAATCATAAGTATTTTGTGTAATATTGTCAAGTGCTTATCAAGATAAAATGCTAAACATTTGTCATGCTCAGCTTTTGAAACATATTGATTAGCTGTTTTTGTAAAATGTTTTGCTGTCATCTTTGAAGTCTGATTCCATCCCTATTCCAGCATCATCCTATCTGACAATGTTCTGAAATGCTGGGCTGTTCTTCTATCCAGCAGAATAGAATGTGGAACAGCTACTACAAGTGTTCCCTGCTGCTGTGTGGAAGCCTTTCTGTCGAGTGTGTTAGCGTGGAAGGCCTCATGTGGGCCTGACCTGATTCCAGCCAAGCATCGCGTGCCTGACCAGAGCGTCTCTCTGTTCTCTTTCTCTTTCCCATCCATCCATCCATCCATCCATCCTTCGCTCGCCCCCTCACCCACTGCCACTCTCTCTCTATCTCTCTCATCCATTCTTCTCTTGCTCTCTTTTTCGCTCTCCTTTCACCCCCGCATTACAGTGTGCCTCACCGCCCATGCTGCACAGTTCACTTGAACACTCTTTCATACACACACTGGGTCCCACAAGCTCCCAGAATGCTTACCTCAGTGGAGCTGAACTGAACAATTTCACAGCGGCTTTACTGCAGACACTGTCTGCCTCCATGCTGGCAGGAACAGAAACTGGGGCAGTATTTAGGATTTATTTATTTTATTTTGGATGTTATATTATTGGCTTTTTAAGAAATTAACTTTCTAGGAAGGAGAATGTGCATGGCTGCATGCAAAACCATATGAGTGTGGTCGTGAGAGTTGAGCTGGCCATCCTGCTGCTGGGTGTGTGCCAGGGCGAGCAGAGGGCATCTCTGCTACATTTGATGTTTCACTGGGCAGGTGGGAAGACAGCGTTAATGCGCACACATACTCTCTCAACAAGACCACAGAAGTGTTATATGATGAAGCGATGCCATGTTAAATGCATGCTTGTGCTTTAGTTCATACATTTTGTCTTTACTTGCCGCCATTTTTTGCAAGTGACCAATTAGTACTGTGCATGTGCAACTCTCATTAGAGAAGTGAGATGATTCACTCCTTAACTACTTAATTTTTTATTTTGAGTGCTATATTTATTAGCTCAGCGCATCATTTGACTTGCACCTGGTTACGAGACAACCCTTCTTGTTGAGCCCTGTAACCCCAGCCTCTCTTTTTTGGCCCTTTATTTCATTTTATCTTCACATGCTCATAACGTGACTTGTAAAAACAAAAGGGTCCAAATATCACAAGTCCTGCAAGACGATTTAAAGCACATCAAAACATCTGAACCGTCCTGTAGCTGCTATTGTACCGTGCTGCCACTACACTGTGACTCATTCTATACTCCATAGGGTTCGGGCAACCCCCACACACCCCTCCATGTTTCAGAGGTTCTGTTGTCTGGGGGGTGATCCAAGGCCTGTCAACCCCAATTACCCAGATGTGGGCCTCTGCCTCCAGCCCTCCTACTAATCCCCCCTTTCTCTTTTCTCTTTTTTTCTGCCTATTCTTCGAGTTAGTACACAAAAGCATGTCAGGGCAAGCAACACCATTGTCTGAGAGCCTTATGTAAGATTATTAAGGCATACAGTATGTGTGCAGTATAATGCTGCTGGCTTTTTGGTAGCCAACATAAATAGACGTATAAGAGGGATATTTAACTTTTAGGTCCTTCAAATTAACATCCAAAAGGCGTGGGATTGAAATAAGTTC